ACTTGATCATCCACTTAAGAACTGGGGAAGGCACGTGTCTATTATTCCCCCCTCCTGCCTGCGCTACTGATGTCATGCAACATCCAGCAACTCAAGCGTTCAATTCAAACTCATTTGCTTGGTGACAGCAACGGCCGTCGATTGGATCTCAATCACGGCACTGTAAGGTACAATAACGTGATCACACGCTGACGCATTGAGAAGCAAATCTACCAAACAGAGAATTGTGCTGCCTAGAACAGTCTTCTCCAGTTAAAAAGTATAACAATAGGTATAGGTGAACTCATTGCATCACACCTAATGCTTGCTCCAATGTCTTCAAATGTGAGACATTCCCTTAAGATTCAGAGGGTAAACGTTATATCAGTCATCGGCATTCAGCATAGTCATTTTTCACAACAGAAGTGATTAATGCATTGTCTAGGCACGTACCCACATAACAAGTCACGGACAGAGGTGATCCAGGTTTGGAAATGGAGCCTTGGGTATAGCTCACATCTTGGCTCACCTCATGCAACACATTTCTGCCGCGGAGAAAGTGAAGCTCTGTGTCTAAGCCAGAGGATGGCTTAAGTCACAAGGAGAATAGTTCCGGTGCGAGTGAACCATACGTATGCAAGAAACTGTTGCAGTTTTCTGACCACTGTTTGAGTTGATTAAGTGACATAGTGGCCGCTTGTTTAAATGTTGCATTATATGTGAGATTCTGCACCTGGAATAATGGGTATAGCGTTGAATACATCAAATACTTGAAATCGGGCTCCCAGGCGCAGTCAGCTTTTCCGGGAACATTTCTTTGCGGGGACAGGATTTCCAAATATGGATTGCGGGCCGGTCAGTTATTTAGTCTAAAGAAGGGGCATCTTTACAATACACCATCTAGACTCGGTGCTTTATGTCGAAATAGGGGACAGTGATGTAGCCGAGGGCATGTAAGGAGACGGCTGATGAGTGGAGCCGGATGGGGCCCGGGACCATGGACGATAGATAGTTCCATAGTTCAGCAGGAAACATGCCCAGATAATTCCACCGACACCCGGAGAAGTCTACCGCTCTGCGACTGGTCGATCTCGACCGGGCCGGCTTCTCTTGACCAATGAGCGGGCGGTATCTCGCCGTTCTGTCAACGTCGGCCGGTGCCCAGTTTGGCAACGTTGTGTTCTGGCGTGTTTAGTGCTCGCTGATCCCGAATCGATTCCATAGGTTTTGTGTCGAAGGTGAAAATGTGAATGGAGCATATTAATACCTCGTGTGATGTTACATTCCAGGCAACTTCACGGGTGCAGCGTTGAATATGACAAATATTCTGAGGGACGAGTCCCCATGCTACAGCACCCACAAATACTCATTTCAACCACGCACAATTTACATCTTTGTTTGTGTAACATATTTCCAAGATAAAGCGGCAAACGACTGATATTGTTGCTTTGCCCGTACACATTTTGTGCACAGGCGTTGGGAGGCGTCATTGCTTCTCACGAAATAGGACGCACTGTGCGTCGGCCGCCATGATCAGCCATCAGAATGCCTTGCCGTGGTCACAGACCGACAATGCAAACGGACGGTGGCTCCGCCCAAATTTCTAAGACTAGCCAATGAAAGACCGGCTATTAAATGCTAACTAATGAAATGAAGCCTGACGGCCGATGTCTTTGGCATTTCAGCCAATGACAAGGCAGCACGGCGTTGGCGATCGACAGCACGGCGACCATTGGTCAACAGCCTCGGGGGGCCAGTTAACGCGCTGCGGGTCTCCGGTTCGTATCGCTGCTGCTCCAGCATTGCCGTGTATTCACTATCGCCGTGTAGCCGTGACTGCAGCATTGTCAGATGTGTGCGACGGCTGCACCAGTGGCGTCGGGCAGCCAGCGGTCGGACAGGACGCAGGTGTGCGGTGTTCGGTGATGTGCGGCCATCGGACGTCACGCTTTCCGTGCGCGTGCGACTGGCAGGCGGTCCGCAGACCAGCACAGGCGACAGCAGACCACTGTCTGCGGACGGGCCGGTGACACGAGCGTCCGGACCAAGCACCAGCCGGCCACAGGCTCACCCGCCAACCGGGGGCGGCTCAGTGCAGACGCTCCACTGGCGGCCGGCTGGGACGCAGTCAGACCTCGCCAACGAGCCGCCCGTCAGCAACTGACTGCCGCACAGCTCCAGCTGCACAGACACGCTGCTCAACACGCCTCTCCCAGCCCGCTGCCGCTCGCAGCACGCGGCTGCAGCACGTGCCGACACAGCACGGCCGTGCCGCGCGGCGTGGCGGCAGGCACGTGCAGGCACGTGGCGACACGCGGCATCGGCAGTGGAGGGCGTACGTCGGTGGGCCGGTGACACGTGGCTGTGGCGTGTCGGACGGCGGCGGCGCACCTGACCGGGCCGGGCCGCCGCAGCACTGTGGCCTGTGTGATGCTCACCATGGCTTATATTCCCTCAGGCTGAGCGGGCCGGGCGGCAGCGACGGCAGACGCTGCAGATGCCCGGCTGCCGGCAGAGCATGGGTCGACATCAGCCACCGAACACACACGGCGGCTGGCTCACACAAACACCGGTCACCGCAGCACTGGGTCGTGCGCTCTGTCTTCTCACCGCGGCAACCCAGGCGCCACGTGAACAAGCGACCGCCGGGGGTGCAGTGTAACAATGGAAGGTAACACGGTCACCCAGACGGTGCAGCGCCACATGACGTCACCAACAGCGGTCCAACATCGCCGAGGGTCAGAGGGTGGCGGGTCAAAATGGCGGGGTCAAGAATAGCCACCTTTGGAGGCACGTCTAACGCAAGCGGTGCCGGTTCAAATGCCCCCGACGAGGATGCGGTGCGATGCACTTTCAACGTGCAATCACTGCTTACTTAGCTGACTCGAAGCCCAGCCGTCGGACCAGACTTAGCGCGACAATTCCAGCCCCCGTTAAATAGCCTGGGGCGCATAATCAACGATCCTATTGACGGAGCGACGAACGCTCAGTTCGCTCCATCCGTCGACACGGAGGAGAGCGGGTGCGACATCCACCTACCGAGGACCTCGAGTGTGACGTCACGGTCCGGGGGCAGCTGGCGCACCAGGCTGTCTACCAGAGACCTGGTCCGGTCTAGGTCAGACCACCACCTCCACCCCAGTACCGTCAGTGATGGACAGCCGAGCACCAGCCTGCAACAGAGCACAGCACACGTCACACCTACAACACCGGCACACAGCGGAACAAAGGGCGCACCACCCACGTGCTCCGTGGTGCGTCACGCGCCCCATCAACTGTTCGCCAGCGTCAGCAGACGTTAGCCTGCGAGGCTTCCGCCGCCGTAACAGCGGGTGCCGCCCCCTGCAGCCGGCTCTGACTGGACGGATGACGCAGTGGGGAGCCCGGTGTGACGTCAGAGCCCGTCCCGGCCGCAACACTCCGGGCACATGGGGCTTGCACCACGTGACGGCCCTGGGAGCGGGACGCACAAGTGCTGTCTCGTGGTGAGCTCAGCTGCGGAGGAGCAGACTCTACGGCCACCGATATGGGCCGGCACCGGGTCACACCTACGGGGGGATGGCGACGCGGAGGGGACAGGGCGAGCACACCGCAGGCAGGGGCACAGCCTGGTTCATTAAAGCTGCAGTCGCTGGCCGTTCAACACCGGCCCGTCTTGGGCCAGGCTTAGACTACTGATCGAGGTCACATATCAGCTGCCTCGGCTGGGCTCGGCTGGGCAGGAAACACGCCGAGAGCTAAACAACAACAACAGGCAGCCTCCCGGGGTGTCCAGGCCACGTGAAACGCCGCCAGTTTGCAACGCTCCTCATCTAATCGCCTTCGTCACGTCCCCCACCGGTGAGCTCACCGTGTGACCCCATCTGTTGAACAAGACTGGCACTCGGACAGGTTCAGCATCCTCAGACGCGGCCCGTGTAGCCGGTCCAGTGTGGCGTCCGTCACAGCTGACAGCAAGGCCAGGTCCAGCTCACGCAGCTGCCTGAGCCGCGGCAGGCTGTCCAGCCCAACAGCCGTCACCCTGCGACACCCTGAAAACACAAGAAGCCGGACCGGGTCCAATGCATCAGCACTGTCACGTGATCGCCAGATGACGTCAGAACATTAACAGCGGCTGAACCGCTGGTGCTGTAAACAACACCGCCTTTCGCAACTCCATGGCGGAGCCACGGTATGCGGGGTCGGGAGCGTGTCCTATTGATATGGAACAGCTGCCTTTAATGCGTCACTTCAGCTGCACCATCACCGTGTTGCCACTACGGAATACACGGAAACTGCGTGATGTGGAATATGCTCACCGTATATGCTGAGTGTGTGCAGGCCTGGCAGCAGGTCGGGCAGCCGCTTCAGCGTGGAGTCGGTGACTCCACGGGAGAGCGCCACGTCCAGGTGTCGGAGGGAGGGGAGGCCGGCCGGCGGCAGGCAGAGCTCCAGCGCCGGCTCCAGCAGCCTCGCCGTCAGCCGCTCCAGCTGTGGACAGCCGGCCAGCACCGCCGCCAGGTCTGCCGCCTGCAGCCCCTCCACATCTGACACGTGCAGCTGCCGCAGCCGAGGACAGCGGGTCAGCTGACGCAGGCAGGCCGGCTGTAGATGTAGACAATAGGCCACCGAGAGAGCCTCCAATGACTCGGGGAGCAGCGATAAACACTCTCCCCGCACGTCACTCCGCGCCACGTCCAGCCGCCGCAGGGACGGCAGGCGGCGAAGCAGCACCTCCGCGCACCGCTCGGCAGATCCGGGAGGCAGCGTGACGTCCCCCAGCCGGGGACACCTGGTCCACAGCCCCTCCAGAGGCTGTGGGGCCGCGTCGAAGTGGAACAAATCCACCGCTTCCAGGTGTTCTTCGAGCCGGGCTGGAACGACACACGGGTTTCAGTTTGAGACAGCGCTGCGTCCTGCAGCCTTTGCCCTCGCTCCCAGACTCCGTCCGATAACACGGCGACTGAGGCATGCGCCATTAAATGGTAACGCTTTAGATGCGTCTGTCGCACTCACACTGACAAAACACACAAAACACTCACAGACGACGTCAACGGATAACGGCGCCGGCGGTGACCAGATGACATGGTCGGTTGTGAGCCGCCGCAGGGACGGCATGCGGCGTAGCAGACGCTCCAGCCGCTCGTTGTTGGCGTGCCGCACGTCATCCTCCGTAAGGTGCAGGTGGTGGCGGCGCTCAAGGCTGTCGCCCACTGCCTGGCGCCAGCCACGCGACACTGCCGGCACCGACAGAGCACACTGTACAGCGGACCGCAGACGCAGACGACGTTCATGTGCGACAAAAACATTTCCACCGGTCAGCACACCCAGCCAGTGACAACGTTTGTCGCGCAAGCGTGACAGTGAGTTGAAAACACACGTCACTGCCATTTCCCTGTGAGAGTAGGAGATCTTACACTGGCGGCGGTTGGCGGCCAGGTCGCTGGCAGCTGGTGCTGTCTTACCTGCTCGGAACACCGGCGCAAACAATCTGCATCAAGCGGTCCCATAGACAAATAACATGACAATTTGACAACTGGAGGGCTTTAAGTCTGGACCCTTGCGACGATAAAGCCATGCGTAATGCAAATTGGGCAAACTAAAATAGTACAGCAAATGATCCCGAACTGAAGCTGACACCTGTCAACCATGCCACCCTTTAGCGTGATCATTACCTTCACGTTGCACGATCTGGAGGGTAAGAGGATTATCTTCGGCATATCTTTTTGCGACTTCTTTAGAAATCATACGTTGGGCTCAATTTGTACACACTTGAACAACGCGTAAAAACTTGGGCTTTTTTTTACTTGGGTACCTGTATTGCCGACGGTGGGGAGAGAGCTACGCTGGCTGCAGGGTTCCTGTACTGCCGTGATGGAGAAATGCTGTAAGGTATCAGCGGACGTAGTGACGTCACTGAAAATGGGTTTGCATCGATCGGGGCTCTCTTGGGCCGACTGAAGGCTACAAGGCATTTGCTAGCGATATGATGTCACTGGTATTCGACTGGATATGCGACGTCACTGGTTGTGAGGCTTTAGGGATCTTTTGGGTGCAATGAATGCCGTAAAGCATCACCTGACGATATGTCGTCGCTGGTATTCAATGAAACATCAGGCGCAACAGGCCTTATTCCATCTTTACCTTTCGTACCTGTCTGCTGCAAGCATTTGCGTGCCGAATAAAAGCTTGACCGAACCACCTGAATGTGTGACGTCACTAATCATCACTTGATACGAGTGCACTTAGGCCCCACGGCCGAGGTGCATCATGTTCCGTGAAATATCACCGGGTATCGTGACGTCACTGATATTCGACTAAATATTGGTCGCAACAGGTCATGCTTCATTTTTACCTTCGTACCTGTCTACTGCAAGCACTGGCGTGATGAATAAAAGCTACCAAATCACGTGAGTGTGTGACGTCACTGGTCATGCATTTTTATGGATCTTTGGGGGCCAACTGAGGGCCGTAAAGCATAACCTAATGATGTGACGTCACTGGCATTCGACTGTGTGTGATGTCACTTGTGATCAGATTTTACGGCCTCTTTTGGGCCGACGAAAGGTCATACGACATTAACTGAAGATGTGACGTCACTGGTATTCGAATAAAATTCGGGCGGGACAGGCCATGCTTCATCTTTACCTTTGGTACCTGTCCATTGCAAGCATTTGAATGCTGAAGGAAGGCTCCGCCGAATTACCTGAGTGTGTAACGTCACTAACCATTAATTTATATAGACTGCTTTGAACCCACCGTAAGCCACACCACATCAGCTGACCATATGACGTCAGCGGTTTTCGTCTAGATGTCATGCGCAACAGGCCATGCTCTATCTTTGCCTTTCGTACCTGTTTACTGCAAGCATTCGCGTGCTATATCAAGGTGATGCTGAACCATCTGAGTGCGTGACGTCACTGGTCATGAGTTTATACAGGCTCACTTGGGCAGCCCAATGCAACAAAGCATCATATCCTGTGAAGCAACGCGGGATGATATGACGTCACTGGTATTCGACTCAACATCAAGCGCAACAGGCCATGTTCCATCTTTACCTTTCGTACCTGTCTACTGCAAGCATTAGCGTGTTATATCACGTCATTGGTTAAGAGTTCTTACGGGCTCTTTTCAACCCCCTATATGGTATAATGCTTCAGCTGACGATATGATGTCACTGGTGTTCGACTTAACATCAGGCACAACATGTCATGTTCCATCTTTGCCTTTCGCACCTGTTAAAGTATTGGCGAGCCTAATGATGGCTCTGTCGAATCACCTGAGTGCGTCGTCATGAGTTTTTACAGGCTATTGTTGGCCGAGTGAAAGCCATAAGGCATCATCTAACGATATGTCGTCACTGGTAATCCACTAAGTGTGTGACGCCATTGGTCATGAGTTTTCCCGGGCCTTTTTGGGCCGACTTAAGGCCATTAGGCATCAGGTAACGATATGACGTCACTGGTATTCAATTAAGCATCAGATACAATATGTCAAGTTTCATCTTTACCTTCCGCACTTATCTACTGCAAGTATTCGCGCGCCACATAAAGGCTCTGCCCAATCACCTGAGCGTGTGGTGTGACTGGTTATGAGTTTACGCGGGTTTACTCGGGCTGACTGAAGGACATCAAGCATCATCTGGCGATGTGACGTCACTGGTATTCAACTTAACACCAGGCGCGACGGGCCATGTTCGTATTTACCTTTCGTACCTGTCTATTGTAAGCATTGACATGCTTAAGGAGAGCTCTGTGAAATCTCCTGAGTGTGTAATGTCACTGGTCATGAGTTCTTTATGGGCTGCTTTTTTGTACCTATAGGGTACAAGACATCAGTTGACGATATGACGTCACTGGTATTTGACTTAATCTCAGGCGCAACAGGCCATGTTCCATCTTTGCCTTCCGCACCTCTAGACTGCAAGTATTCGCGCGCTACATAAAGGCTCTGCCGAATCGCCTGAGCATGTGGTGTAACTGGTCATGAGTTTACGCGGGCTTACTCGGGCTGACTGAAGGACATCAAGCATCACCTGACCATATGACGTCACCGATATTCGGGCTGTGGCCCAGACTTATGACCGCTAGGCGGCGCCCTTGATTACTATTTAGCCATTAGGGCATTCCGGACCGTAGCTGCTCAGTGGCGCATCCTGTGATGTCGGGCGGAATAGCTTTGCATGTACGTCGGTTTGTGGGCTGGGATCACCTTTGTTTTGTGTTTACATTTGTTCAAAATTTTAGCCGTTGAAACAGCCCGTTGCGTTTGAAGTTGCTACTTAATGGTGCGCACAATAAAATTAGTGTGCTTAACTATGGTGCATCTCCCACCTCTGATGCGGAATTTCGTAGCCATAGGTGGCCAAGTGACCTCCTACCAACTGATGATAAGTGACGTCACATACTCAGGTGATTCGGCGGAGCCTTCATATAGCACGCGAATATTTGCAGCAGCCAGGTACGAAAGGCAAATGTGGAGCATGACCTGTTGCGCCTGATGTTTAGTCGAGCACCAGTAACGCCATGTCGTCAGCTGATGCATTATAACCTAAAATGGGTTCAAAAGAGCCCATAAAAACTCGTGACCAGTGACGTCACACACTCAGGAGATTCGACGGAGCCTTCATTCAGCACGTCAATATCTTTAATAGACAGGTACGAAAGGTAAAGAAAGTACGTGGCATGTTGGACCTGATGTTAAGTCGAATAACAGTGACGACATATCCTGTGATGCTTCACGGGCCTTTGTGGCCTTGGGCGGCCCAAGTGAATCCGTATAAACTCATGACCAGTGACGTCACACACTCAGGTGGTTCGGCAGCTTTCATCCAGCACGCCAATGCTTGCAGTAGACAGATACAAAGGTAAGAATAAAGCACGGCCTGTTGCGCCCAGTATTTATTCGAATACCAGTGACGTCACGCTATCCGGTGATACTTCGCAGACCATGACACACCGTGGTCGTGGGGCCGAAGTGCACCTGTATGAAGTGATGATTAGGGACGTCACACATTGAGGTGATTCGGTCAAACCTTTATGCGGCACGCAAATGCTTGCAGCAGACAGGTACGAAAAGTAAAGATGGAACGAGGCCGGTCGCGCCTGATGTTTAATCGAATACCAGTGACGACACATGGCCAGCTGATGCATTACGGCATTCAGTGGACCCAAAAGAGCCTTACAAACTCACGATCAGTGACATCACATACCCAGCCGAATACCAGTGACATCATATCACAATCAAAAGCCTTATGGCCTTCAGTCGGCCCGAAAGAACCCCCATCCCTATCGATGCAAAACCATTTTCAGTGACGTCACAATGTCAGCCGATGCCTCACAGCTTTTCCCCCGCACGACAATACTCGAAACCCTGCAGCTAGCGTAGCTCTTCCCTCCGTCGGCCATACAGGTACCAAAGTAAAAAATTACCAAAACTTGCGTCTGCATTCTAAGTAAAACTTTTGCACTATTTATCACGACTTATACAAAATGCAGTCCCGTTTAAAGATGACATTTACAACAGATCGCGAGTACAAGCTGAACGCCCTGCTTCTCTCCTACCTCGCCTTTCTCAAACTGCCTCTTATTTCTCTGACATTTGCCAGCACAGTTTTCAACAATACGCCACGCGCTCAACGCTCGCGCTTGCTGTAAGCTTGGTCTTCTTCGAGAGGGAGGCGTGTGGTGGCAAAATATCAAACACGGCTCACACTAACATTATTTTGGGTGGTCTTCAGGGCTTGGTCTCGAGGGGTTAAGAGGGGGGAGGGGGAGGGAATGTGCGGGAGGGGGAGGAACAATTGTCTGGCAACACTGAACAGTCGGCTCCGTGCTGATCGGGACGTGCGGGCCCATTTCCCTTGCAGGAAGAAGTCCGCGGCCCGCGATTTGCATGGGTCGGGGTCCCTAAGTCAATGAAGGCCTTTCACGGTTGGTTCGGGGCCTACAGGGCCTAAAAGTGCTGCGGCTTTTGTCGGCAAGTGCCTCTATTCGGCCGCGGGCAGTGTTCAAGGAGACCACACAGCCCACAGGGTGTAGGGGCGCGAATGGAGGGCTCGGAGTGCACGAGTGCTTGCTGCAGGTGACATTAAGAACCCCGGCTCCAAGGACAGGGCCCTCAAATGTCAGTCAGTGGGCCTCTTGCGCCGATTGTAGACCCCTTGTGGCAATGCGGGCGCCTATTATAGCCATGCACCGCCAGCACACAACGGTTGGATACGTGTCAGTCTGGGCCT